CGAGTCGAATCGACCACAATGAGGAAGATGATCGGTGATAGTGGGCGGAAACCTTGTCTTGTCTTACTCCTATCCCTTGTCTTCACTTCATTTCAAAGGCATCACTGAGCTTTCTATTGTGAATCATTTAGCATGTAGTATCATCATATAGCATGTAGCTGGTGTTGAATGAGGTTGATAAAGGTTTATGGTACTAAAACCGTAGTGTTGAAGCAGCTGCCAAATCAGTTCTCGGTTGACGCCTCAATCGAAGGCCTCTTCAAAGTCGATGAAGTTGAGGTAGAGATTCAGTTGACTGACATTCTATGCTCTGTTCTATGATGATGTGTAGCATGGCGTTGCAATTTGACCCGCACATGATTTGTTCTTCCTGAAGCCAGCCAGCCAGCCAGTTCCAGTCGTAATTTTGAATGAAGAGCATCTTTTTGTCTCTCCAGGATGATGCGGCTTGATATTGTGCTTGGGATGGACAGAGATGGAGCATCATTCCGCGTCGGTTCTTGCAAGGACATAGGTCTCCCTTCTTTGGAAGTTTGACAAGTTATCCCTTCCTTTAATGTGCAGGTACCTTTCCTTCCTTGCAAGCCTTCTGCAGTAGTAGTGTGAGCATGTTCACTGATGTCTCTGCGTTTGTTTTCAGTACTTCTAGAGGAATTTCATCTGGCCTTGCTGCTTTCTGGATTTCCGTAAGTTAATGGCGTTCAGTACTTTACTTGTGCTTTTGTCGGAGGGTTTGTGCCCTCTGGTAGTTCTATGACTGGACTGCCGGCAGTATTCCTGGACGAGTTGCAGTTGATGGTGGTGGTCGATTCAAGAGCTTTTTGAAGTGATCAGCCCATTGTTTCCTTTGTTTCTCCTCTTTAGTAACTAAGTTTTTTTTTACTACCTTCATTGGTTTCATATGTGTTGATCTCTCCCCTCCCAGATAGTGGTTATTTGATGCAATGCTTTCAGGTCTATCTTACCTGCTGACCGTTTTACTTCAGTTGAAAGTGTGTCTTAGAAGTGTCTTTTGCTTTCCGCGCACTCTTTTTCACTTTTTTGTCTAGTGTTTTATAGGTTGCTGATTGTGGTAGGCGAATTATACAAATTCTTCACAAAAATCAGACTTTATAGATCTCTGACAGTGTCATGATTTAGATGCCTTTCGTAGGTTTTATGTGGATAGTGAGTCCAATATGAATAATACTAGCCTGTACTTTACTCCCGATTTCAATCCGTAGCTTCTAGAGGGATGATTCCAGTGTCTATCTCTTTCTCTTTCCTCCTGATCAGTAATAATCCATCTACTGAGGTGGCTAAGATTCAATTGAAAGGAGGCCAAGGATGGCCAGATCATGACTTGACATGAGTTCCTGAAGTCCTCGAAAGCAAATCTGAGCCATTTATCGAAATATAGGCTTCTTGGAGCGTAGGCTAACGAGATGATAAGAGTCAGTGGTGGGAGACTACTGATGACGTAACGGGGAATCGATCAGAAAAGCCCAACCGTGGCTTAATGTACACACTGTGTTTCATTTGCAAAGATAGAGAATTTTCACAAAAAACTCATTGAATAGTCAAACATTGAGATGATTTCGTCGATTGTAAATTATCATTCATATCGCTCTGCAGCTATGGTGTATGCCCACCTAATCGTCGTCACATTATAAACAAGTCTCCGAGCCTTAAATACGAAGTTGGACATAGTTACTGAACTGTAGGCTGACCAGTAGCTAACATTCTTCTTTTCTCTTCACTTTCAACAGTTTGTTCGTTGGTTTCCAAGCTGATTTGCATGTTTTTAAGAATAAAACACCTTCGTGTAAAATGGTTATACTAACTGTGACATAATGTGTACCATAAATATATACCATCAGTAAATCAATAGGATTATTTTCAACAATGAACTATCTGTATATTAGCTGTATCTTCCTTTGTTTTGATCTTTGGTGTTTTCGGCCGCAATACACGTTTCCACACGTCCATCGTGTCTTCTCCACTCAGTAGTCAGGTTGGAAATCAACTAGGAATTTGTTGAACGTTGATGGCTGACACTCGATATCCGTTCATCGATAGAGAGGCATAACAGTTTTCCAGTCATAACAGTATAGCACAATGAATCATCCGTTTTAGAACTGAATCAAGTGTATTTATTCAGTCTTGACATGATAAAAGAAGATGAATAGGATCATAAAGTAATGTAATCATGAAATCCAGTTGTGTTCCATGCGAATACATATGACTATAAGGCTACTCCATTATTGAAAATATCCATTGACACACACACACACACAGAGAGAAAGGAACCCACCTATCAGTGTGATTACAAATCCGCGACAACCAATTCGCACATTTCGACATCATATACTCGACAAAGGCATTAGAATATGAACTTAAATCACCTATGAAAGTAAAGAAAAAATAATAAATGAATGGAAAGCAAGCAGGATGGGAATAAACAATTTTCCTTTGAAGATGATTCTTTTAAACAAGCCATAAATTTAGTGTCCTTATAGAGGAAGAACCGATGCACAGACAGACGAGGATGTTAAAGTCAGAATCGGAAAAGCAAGACAGGCGTTCATTAGCCTGAAACCAGTGTGGAGATCTTCTGCACTCAGCATGTGGAACAAGATACGGATTTTCAACACCAACGTCAAATCAGTGCTTCTGTATGGTTAAGAGACTTGGAGCGTTACGAAAGGGATTTCCAATAAACCACAGACATTCATCAACAACTACTTACGCTCGCTACTGAAGATCAGATGGATTGCCAGAAAGAATAAGCAACAAGGAGCTCTGGGAACGAACCAACCAAGAACCTATCACCCAACAAATATGCAGGAGGAAGTGGAGATGGATTGGGCATACTCTGAGAAGGCCGACTGGGGACATCACGCGTCAGGCCAGTCACTCGAGTGGAATCCAGAGGGGAAGCGACGAGTTGGATGTCAGAGGGTGACATGGAGGAGATCGTGCGAAGAGGAAATGAGAGGTTGTGGGCTGTCGTGGAACCAGGTTCAAAAGATCTCAGAGAACAGAGTTCACTGGAGAAGTGCTACTGAAGCCCTATGTTCCACTAGGAACCCAAGGGACTAATAATAATATAGAGGAAGAAGGTATAACCACCTACAGTGAATATTATTTCATCGGGTCGAATACATCTCATAGATATCATTAGGGAAATGACCGATAGTCGTGTGTCAAAACAAATTCAATAATCAATCAAAAACTTATAGATAGGACACATGCACACATACAGACACACACACATACATACACACAAACAATATAAGGTAGAAACGATGAGACGCTTCATAACATCACTATTACTATTTAGCACATACACTATGACGAAACAGCTGTCCAGTACTCCCACGTTTCCACTGTTCCTACAACTGATGTTAGCTCATGATGAATACCAACTTGAAAAGTATATTTAATGACATGAAATGGGGACTGAGAACAATAGTTAGGCTTGGACACTACAAAGATATACTAACAAGGGTTGTTTTATCCGGCTAGAATTATGAGAAAACAGTGTAAATCAGTGTAAAGTCTGATACAAAAGTACGTCAGTTCAAGTTGCTACACTTAGATTAATAAAAATATCCAATACTGTGTTGTTGATAAAGTGATAAGTTTTCAGTTATGTCACAGAGTCTTCAAACATCAGTTCCTATCCCGTCTAGGATTGCAATCACCTCCGTACTATTTCATAGACTGGTGCCACATCTTGATTTGGAAATGATATGGGCATAGAGAGATAAGATTAGTCAGGAGAGGCATCAATCAAAATGTACTTTATGTTGTCACGTCTACAGTTACACAGAAAGACGATGGATCAGCTAATCAATGGGATTATCTGTATTTTCCTTCATTTCGGTCTTTGGTCTTTTCGACTCCAATACATGTTTCTACACATCCTTCAAGTATTCTGCATGAATTAGTCCGGTCGGAAATCAACTACGAATTTCTTGAACGTTGATATCTGCACATCATTATCTATTATTATTAACATTATTATTGTTATTACTATTATTATCACTGTTACCATCATTTTTATCACTATTATTATTGTTTGTTATTATTTCTACTACTATTGTCATCATTGTTATTGCCGTTATCATTATTACTACTGTTATTATTACTACTACTACCATTATTATTACTACTATTATTATTACCACTACTGTTATTGTTATTATTACCATTATTATTATTATTACTATTATCATTGTTATTACTATCACTATTACCATTATTATTACTACTACTGACACTATTATTATCATTACCAGTACTACTGCTATTATTATTACTGTTTCTATAACTATTATCACCATTACAATTATTAATATTATTACCACTACTACCGTTATTACTACCGCTACCATTATCATTACTACTATTGTTATGACTACTACTGCTACCATTATTATTACTATCATTATTATTGCTATTATTATCATTACAGTTATTGTTATTACTACCACTGCTACCACTATTATTATTATTGTTACTATTATTACCATTATTATTGTTATTGCTACCGTTATTACCATTATCATTATCACCACTACTACTACTATTATTATTACTATTATCACTATTATTACCACTACTACCACTATCATTGTTACTACTTTTATTATCATTACTACCACTACTATTATTATTACTACTGTTATTACTATTACCATTATTTTTATCACTATTATTATTGTTACAACTACTATCATTACTGTTACTATTATTATCATTACCACTACTACTATTATTATTATTACCGCCACTATCATTACCATTACTATTACTACTACTATTATTATTGCTACTACTGTTATTATTATTACTATTATTATTATTACCATTATGAAATTGAGTTACTTGGGATGATGTTTCTGAAGGGACGCATAGGTAACGACAAACTTATTTGTTAAATACTGAACTACCTACTTATGAGTAGTTAATAGTAATTCCTCCATTTTTTCGCTGTTGGTTTGTTTGAAATAAAGCTTGGTCTACGACGTATAAATGGGCTGATTCATTATGGATGAATAATATCTCCTTACTATTAACCGCCTTGACAGTATTCGCTCTTCCAGTTGTAACGCGGTACTATGCTGCTTTGGTTCTGGTCTCTTGTGGTTTTGGTCTGTTTTCGGGTAAGATCCTTTTTTTAAGGTGTTATTTATCTAATGTTTCTTCTATTTTTTTTTGAAGGATAATCCATGTTATTTTATAATTTTTAGGAACCCAAGGGACTAATAATAAAAAATATATATAATAATGGGACAGAGGCACAATGATTTCTATTGCTGCATGTATTTAGTGTTGATTAGATGAATACCGACTCGGTTATCAATACCTCTCTTCCTCCATCCAACTAAGTTCTTAACGCTGTCTCTCTATCCCACTCTATTGTGTGATTGTGTGCAGTGGCATGTGCATAGCTATACCCGAGTATTTCTGCTAAATTTCTCACCTTATTAAGATCTACAAATCTTGATTTAACCAAATTTTTGTGCTTTCATAGGCTAATTAATCCCACCTGGTCGACTATTTTGACTTCGCAATCATTGCAAGGGATTTGGTAAACCCAAATTATTGGATCAATAGGATCTTTTAACCTACAAAGCTTGTTTCTAATCTTGTTCGTTGGTTAAATGCCATTCCAGTCCCAGCTAGCTTTATTGAGAATTCTTCGTAGTACTTTTAAGGTGCCTTTCTTGTATGGTAGCATGCATAGTGGAGGCTTTGAATTCTCTCTCAACTCTGTCAATAACACCTGTATTATTATCATTATTATTACCAGTATTTTTATATCGATTTTCGATGAATTTATTTATAAATTTTGGTGGGTAATTATTGAGACGTAGGGTATTCTTGAGGTGTCTAATTTCTTGTCGTAAATTTTCTGGTCTACTAGTGAGCTTTTCTGCCCTATCACCTAGGCATTTAATTAAGCCTACTTTAATTGAGATGGGGTGGTAGACGATTTAAATGGGAAGGTTTCCTGTAGACATTAGTCTCTAAACTTCCGTCTTGTGTTCATTTAATCGTACAATCCAACATTGCTAGCTCACCTTCATCACTTTCTAAGTCACAAGTGAGTTGGATGGCACCCACACCTGAATTTAGACGTACCAAGAACCTATTGATGTGTTCACTACTGTAAACGTATCATCTACATATCGGAACTATATCATTGGAGTAGGAGTAAATGTTTGAAAAGTCATCCCGTTCCCTACTATCCATAAATATGTCTGCGACGATAGGGGATATTGGTAATGCCATGGCAACACCTTCAGTTTGTTTATATATTTTATTTTGAAACTTAAAAACTGTAGATAGTGGGCATAATCTTACTCCTACCATGATTTTCTTGATTGGTACCTAAGTTCGATGCGTAAGCTCATTGTCATCCTTATGCCCATTTCTAACTGACTCTAGAGCCATGTCGATTGGTATTCTTGTGTAACAGTGACCATTCTTTTATTGTCATCTTAATGTATGTCATCTAATCTGTGCTTTAAGTCATAAGAGTTTGGTAAGTCGAGATTTCGAGTGATTTCATATTGAGCCTAACACCATTGCTAAATATTTAGACAACTCGTTAGTTGGAGTGTTTCTAAAATCTACTATAGGCCTGATGGGATAATCTAGCTTATGAAACTTAATCGTACTATACATTCTACTGGGATTATTAGTTTTCAGCATTAAATCAAACCATTTTGATGCACTTAGAAAAGGCTGCATGTGGCGTATCAGATCCCCTGTCGATTTCTTAACCTTATTCATAATAGTATACACTGGTTTGTGTATGCTTATTTACTTTGTAGATGTAATCAGATTTGTTCATTTCAACTATATGGCATATCGAGGTAGGCGATAGGTCGGCATGCACAGTGCATGTCCAAGCCATCTCAGTCGACTAAGTTTCACAACATCAATCTGACCTACCTGTTTTGCCTAGTACCCTTCGCTTGAGCTCAACACTGCTCACGCGGTGATCCCACCAAACGCAAGCAGTAGTACGAAGACACTTGCGGTTGAAACCATGCAATCGCTTCACCCTCTTGTAGTTTTAACGGCTGTCTGACTGGCATATGACAGAACAGAACGGACTGCAGCATAGTACATATCTTATTTGATAGGTAGTTGGATATGTCATCGTTTGGAGCCAGAGATGATGTAAGTTTGTTTCAGAGTTGAAAGTTCGTCAGCAACTAGCCTGTTTGGGTGGTGGCTGATACAACTTCCCAAGTAAGTGAAATCGTTGATACACTCCATCTCTTGACTCCCTATCATTAATCTGGATGTGATTACAACAGATGAGATAGACAGATGAGAAAACCATGTCAGATGATCTCTAGGGAGAGAGAGAGAGAGAGAGAGAGAGAGAGAGTAGATCAATCCCTGTGAGGTCAGATGTACCTAAACTTTTATCCATCAGTAGGTCTCCAACGAAATTAAATAAGAATGGTGATAGTGGGCATCCCTGGCGTATGTAGTTATAACCAAATTCTATGTCGGTTATATATGTCCATTATTTCTGCCTAGTGTCCTTTGTGTTACTTCTGTTGTTCACTTTACCAATGTCATCTATTGAAATCGATTCACAGGGGTTCCTCAACCCTGAAGTTTCTTGATTCTACTTCCAAATGAAGTATTGTGAATTTCTTTCCAAGAAATTTAGAACCAAAACAAACAAGCAACTTCTCAACTATAAATCAAATGTTTGAGTCACGCATAAAATCCAAAACGTAGAATTTGTCTGAAATACAGTTTTTTTTATAAATAAGCAATATTGAGTAATGAGACAGAAACCTCAAATCGTGAGGTACCTGTAGATTTATCGCTGTCAAAGCACTTTAAAAAGAATGCGTCAACCAGAAGACCTGCGTTAGTTCTCATAAATGAAATAGGAACAAAGAAATAGATTGCAACACTATCATAAACGATTGAACAGAATGAACAGTCAAGCATATAGATAAAGCAACATTATGAGAAAACATAAATTGTACTACTCAAATCTATTAAGTAGTATAAAACTAAAGATATAAAAAGTGGATACGAAGGGAACATCCCATAGGATAAACGAGAACAGTTAACAGGCATGATAGATAATTAGTAGTGTTGAAACAATTTTTACACAAAATCTCTTTATAAATTTATACACTGTGTGAATTTTATGTTGGTTTTTTCTCATTTTTTTTGCCCTAAACACAGCTGTCTTTGTATCATTGAAAAGTATCCTAGTCGTGGAATTAATCGGTATTGATCGTTTGACAAATGCTTTTGGTTACCTGTTACTATTTCAAGGATGTGCAGCTATAATTGGTCCACCGGTTGCAGGTAGGTAGACAGCTTCCCCTCACCCCCCCCTTTTGCTCCACCTCTTCCCCTACCAACCTTCTGAAATATCATTCAGTTGTTATTTTTATTTGTGCTTCTTTTTTGTCACATCGTTTAATTTCTTCTCATTCCATCAGTCTAAGCGATCAAGTAGTTGTAGTACATATACCCAGTTAATTCTTGGTTATGTTGTGTTCTATGAGTTAACTGAGAGGTTTAAACGTGAAGCTTTTGCTGTCAATATCTCTCCATGAGTGATAGACGGTAGCTTACCCTGACCAACTGGTTCGTGATTGGTTGTTTCCTTCGATTGTTGTATCATTAACAAACTGTATAGATTTCCCTGTTGGTTGTTTCTCTGCCTGACCTCTGATATAACCTTGTTATTGCTTGTCATTTTTCTTATTGTTTTATAGTTCTACTTCATATGTTTGACTCCTGATAGTTTCGATCGTTACATAACCTTTCAAGATACAACTGTAGGAGTACGGGATAGTTGTGTTAGCGAATGTTTAGTGTAGTGTACCTTTTTTGGTTGCATTTGTATTCTCTGATCTGGGTTGTTTAGTCGAGTTTTCCCTGTTGTTAACGTTGTCATGTGCTGCGTCATGAGTATGCTTTCTAGTTTTCTCTGCTGATTATTAATCACGAATTGGTATTTGTGGATCCGATGATGTGCATCTGTGATCATCAATAGTACCATTTATCTTCCATTTTGTCCAGCTATTCTCCATCCCATTTGACAGCCAATTGTTGGTCTATATCTGACAGTCTTCTGGAGAACATGATGACGTAGGAACTCATAGGGAAAGAATAGTTGTGTAGATTAAGGAACCCAGCTGAGAGAACACATTACAATCAAGACCATACATCTGAGCTACAAATATTCTCCGAGTTCGATCCCTGGCAGGGTCGTGGATGCGCACTGCTGGGGAGTCCCATACTAGTCGGACGAAACAGCTGTCCAGTGCTGCCAGGTTTCCTTTCTTCCTCCAACTGATGTCAGTCTACGATGAATAACAACTTGCAATATTCTCCATCATTTCAAAATCATAGTAGTGTATTTTTGTTTTGACAGTTGTAATTTCTCGGGCCGAATCGCTCGACCTCTGTTGGCAGATAAGCTCCTGTGCGGGTGCCTAGTGGATAATCTTTTGGCATTTGAAGTGATTCGTAAGAGGTTCGAGTCTCAGTGCGAACACCATTATTTATCACTGAGGTGTAGGTACATCCAACTGATGAGTCCCAAAGAGGATGAAACACGTATCCTGGATGGTTCCACTGCTAGTCGCCAACATGAATGTAGTGTATTTCTGTTTAGTTTATTGTCTTCCACTACTTTTTTGAAGATGGTTGACAATGTCCAGTGGTAACTGAAAACATGATCAATAAAAGTGTAGGATACTAATTGAACGGGTGTAGAATCGAAAAATGTCATTGTGCCTTAAATCACCAATCAGAAGTAAGCATGTTATTTTGTTGCGAGGTAAAAATTTAAAAATTTGTGTTACTCATCTTACATGTATAACTTTTCGTTGCAATTATCTAAGTGGGGGTTTGTAAGCTCATATCAGTGAATCAAGTAGAAAGGTAGTGAGGTGAGAGATGAAGATAAAATTCAGTCAAAAGAAATATAGAGTACGAGAAGAAAGAAAGGACAAGATGACAAAATGCTGAGAATCGGTATGGTGATAAGATGAGGATAATGTGTATGGGGTACATGTGCGTCACTGACATCGATCTGAGCCATATCCCCTAGAGTCTCCAGCCACTGGTTCCTCTTGTCCCGCGGACCCCAACCACCTAGTCTACATCGCTCCACATGGCTCAAACCAACAGTCAGAGACTTCATGCATTGGCGCCATGTTTTAGTCTGGCGACCTTGGGCCTTTTTCCAGTCTGGGCCTACTTTAGCCAACATTGTATGATGAGGCAATCAGTGACTAGGTATATGTAGTATGTGTCCCAACCATGTCAGTCGATGAAGGTTCATAACCTCGTCAACTGATTTACCTCTACTCCCTAAAACTCCATATCTGACTTTTGCATTACTCACGTGGTGACACCACGGAATACGGCCTATAGTACGAAGGCAATCGTGGTCAAATACTTGAAGCCTTTTCATGTCTTGTACCTTCAATGGCCATGTTTCACAGCCATAGAGTAGAACAGACCGGACTGCTGTGCAGTATCATGGCGGCGCCATAGGTGGCGTAATTTGGCAAAAGCCAACCGACCCTTTTGTATTGGTGGAGAGATTTCATCGGCCACTGAGCCACTAAGGCAAGGCTATCCGACTTTCCAGGTAAGTGTAGTGGTCAACACACTCAATCACTTCACTGTCTATTGTTAGCCGTGGGACCGTTGAAGACCAATCCTAGAGCAAACATTTGCATTTGGGTGGTGAGAACCTCATCCCAAACATCTTCAAATTCGCACTCAAAGTGTTCAGAAAATTCTGCATGTTGTCAGCATCTTCACCTAACAAGACTATATCATCTTCATACATTGGGTCTAACGAAAATTCGCTTGTGATTGGGCCAACATCTGTATAATCTGGTGACGAGAGGGAGACCTACATAAGAATATTTATGATGAAATTGAATAAGAATGGAGAGAGTGGGCACCCTTGACGGACACCACTCGATGAACATAGCTCTCTGGACATTTCACTATAGGCTCTAAAACGCCCACAAGTGTTCGAGTAGAGAGCCTTCAATAAGGTGATGTACTTACTCGGCTCGAAGGTGAGCGCTTTCAATAAATTGATGGTGTAGCTATGTGTAGTCCCCCTGGACCATTACTAGCTGACATTTATACGTCATATGTCAAAAATCTGGCTGGTGATCTCATTACTAAAGTTTCTCTTTACAAGAAATATGTTGATAACATCATAGTGGATTGTGAAAGACATGAACATCTGGTTGGCTTGTCTACTAACATTACAACCCCGTACCAACTTACATCAGCTTGATGTGTGAGAAGGGGAATAATTATCATCTGTCATTCTCAGACATACTCTTCAGTCGGTGAGAAGATGGTTGAATAGGAAGATCAGTCTGAAGAAGGCCTATATAGACAAGACAATATCTGAATTTTCACAATCTTTGTCCTATCTAGTAGAAGTGAGATGCTTCTTTGATAGGATCTGCGTCGTATCTGTACATCAGATACGATGAATGAAGTTATCAGCTTACTGAGCGAAACACTTACGGAAAATGGATATTCACCGAAGTTTATAGACCGTTGTAGAAGTGAGGTAGCACCGAAGACAACTTTATACACGCTTTCTACGAAAAGGGTCCATATCAGTGTAATCAAGAATACGTTGCATCTCAATAATTATCCACCTAGATATATAAGAAATCTAAAGAAAAATGTTAGTAGTAATAGTATTGTAGGAAACGGGATGATCGAGACGAATGAAGGGATATCCATTACTAAAAAATGGTACAGTAGCCGTTAAATATAGTATACCTTGCACTGAAACCGTCATTTGCAAAATGTGCTTCGTTTCCTCTTCTGCTTCTCTCTTGATTTGCTCTTCATACGACTTTGTTGTGCCTTGAGTTGCTTTTGGCAGAATCTCTACCCATAGCTGGTAATCCCCTATGATTTCTGCCACCCTCCCAACATATACTACTTATATCCATTCGTATCAGCAACGCCCACTACAGTGTTAGTAACATAGGTGTTATTAAAAACTCTACTACTAGTAGTATTAATGGTGATAGGGTTGAGAGAGAATTCAAAGCCTCCGATATGCCACCATACAAGAAAGGCCCCTCAGCAGCATTACAAAGAATCCTCAATAAAGCTGGCTGGATTGCAGTGGTATTTAAACCAAGAAACTCGCTTAGAAACAAGCTATGTGGGTTAAAAGATTCTACTAATTCAATTAGGCTGAATAATTTGATTCACCAAAATTCATTACAATGACTGAGAGGTCAAATACATAGGTCACAGTAGTCGACCAACCAGGGTCAATAGGGATAACAGAACACAGGAACTTAGCTAAGTCAGGATTAGTAGATACTAACAAGATAAGAAATTTAGAGAAGAGCTCGGTTATAGCTCTGCATGCACTGACACACAATAGGGTGGGATAGCGCGATAAGTATTGAAAAGTAACTTAGTTGGGTGGAAGGAGACAGAGACCGATAACCGACTGAATCTTTGTTGATCGAATCAACATCAAATACATGCAGTAACAAGAATGACTCTGCACCTGTTCCAGATATATGGGAAATTCCAGTACCCTCGTCATCACAAATAAGGAGAGGAGATTAGGACTAATATAAACTCTGTCTCAAAGTAATGGAGTTACCTGCTCATATGACTGTGGACAATAAATAATGTCCGAAACGTTATCCAGTAAGTGATACTGTTGTTTCACTGTGTGACATTTTTAATAAATCAACTAAAATTGACTCAGGTTTTCGTTGCTGTGAGAACTATTTTCACAGATCACGCTATAGACCATGTTTAAATTTCAGATAAGTGGGCTAAATTACTTTGACAGCTTTGGTGAAAGAGAACCAGCAGTGAACTTGACTGGTTAATTTCAATAGGAAGCCTTAATGAAATAACAGTTGGCTGATTGATATGAGCTGTTTAGTTATCTCAGCAACTTATAAATTCTTTATCTGATTTAGAGGTAGTATTCATCATGGACTGATATCAGTGTGGGAACCCGGCTAAGGTTCGGACTCAGGACCTTCAGGTTTCACAGCGAACGAGATAACCATTCAGCCACTGAGTCGGTTTTCAGCGGTTCACAATTTCCAACTTCTGTCAATTCACGACATAGCGCGACTATCACCCAAGGTCTTCAGTTAGTATCCACTTCACTTCCGACTGGTTTGGTTGACCCCACAGGTCATGGCTTCTCATTACACCTTCGTGATATCCATCTTGAAGCAAGTCACTAATGAGGACTATACAGTAATGTATTTTTGAGATGAATGGGGAACCATTGAAACCCGAAGGTCCTTAGTTCTATCCCTAGCCGGGTCGTGCTTACCGCTGAGGAAGTCCCATACTAGGAGGAAACAACTGTCCAGTGTTCCCAGATTTCCAATGGCTCCCCAACTGACGTCAGTCCGTGATGATTACTACCTCTCCATTCATCTCAAAAATACTTTATCTGATAATCAATTTATGATATTGTCAGGAAATGTGACTTATAGCCAATCATATACCATGATGAAAGAAAGGTGGATGAAATTATGATGAACTGTAACAAGAGTTAACTTCAAATCATATGATAATTGAACTGGATTACAGTGAAAATTTCACTCTTTTTCTGTGATAGTATTGTTAGTACAAAAAAGGTGAACTGTACGATATACATCAGTGAATTGCTACAATAACTCCTATTCTGGTTAGTTGTACTGCTACTTGAGAGGACTGATGATATATTGAATCGAATTGTAAACGTAATCCACCACTAAATATACATAATTTTCTGCGAGATGTATCCCGCAGCTTTCATTTTTGTCCATTCTTATAATAGTTGAGATACTGAGTTATTGTTGAAAGTGGAATAAAAATCAGCATCATGTTAGGATTCGAACCAGCGATCACCGCTTTTCGAAGTCGGTGTTCTATGAACTGATAGCTAGGAGATCAAGCTATCAGCAAGGATTTTGTCCGACTCCCATGTGGGTTGGTGATTATATAAACTCTGTTTCAAAGTTGTAGAGTTGCCTGATGTGACTGTAGACCATTAATTGTGTCCGAAACATCATTATCAAGTAAATGATACTGTTGCTTCACTGTGTGACATATCTAATAAACAGACTATACTGACATACATAGGGTAGTTCAATAGTATAATTTCGAGGTGCAGGCTAACATCTAAGCTTATTATTGTGGAAAAAACAGAACACATGCTTCATCACAAACTTAAGAACTGCATCAATTATTACCTCATCTCATTTTGTTCCCAATTTTTGCGTGTGGGGGGCAGGGGTGAACACGTGAATAGGGAGTAGTTGAGCCATACAGTTGAGGGTGATCGAAAGTGAAGCGGATACCAATTGAAGACTTTGGGTGAAATAGTCGTGCTATATCGCAAATTGACAGAAGTAAGAAACTGTGAACCATTTAACTCCGATCCAGTGTATGGGTTTTTAACGCATTCGCCGTGAAAGATGAATATCCTGAGTAATATATTTTTGAGATGAATGGGGATTTTTTCTTTCAATTTAGAAGTAATATTCATCATGGACTGACATCAGTTGGGGGACCATTGAAAATCCGGGAGCACTGGACAACTGTTTCGTCCTAGTATGCGACTCCTGAGCAGTACGCACCCATGACTCGGCTAGGGATGGGACTCAGGACCTTCAGGTTTCACGGTGAATGCATCAACCATTCAGCCACTCGGTCGGTTCCCAGTGGTTCACAATTTCCAACTTCTTTGGGGTCAACCAGTCGGAAGTGAAGTAGATGCTAACTGAGGACCATGTGTGACAGTCGTGCTATGTCGTGAATTGACAGAAGTTGGAAATTGTCAACCACTGGAAACTGACCCAGTGACTGGATGGTTAACACGTTCACCGTGAAACCTGATGGTCCTGAGTTCGATCCCTAGCAGGATCGTGGGTGCGTACTGCTGAAGAGTCATATACTAATATGAAACGGGTGTCCAGTGCTCCCATGTTTCCAATGGTTCCCCAACTGATGTCAGTCAGTGATAAATGCCAACTTGTAATTAGTATTTCGTATTCATCTTAAAATATATTCGCCACAAATCTGGCCATCATCATGTTAACGAATTTCATATTATTACCATAGAACATAGAATACTCTTCGGTCATATTTGGCCTTTAATATTATATTATAAGAGCTTGATTAAATCCACTTATTGTTTTTCTCTCCTGTTGAACTGTTTTACACTTGTTAAATAAAACTGTATGGTGACTTGCATAAATTGCTATAGAGAGAAAAGTTAGTTGATGAAAATATGAACCTTTATTGACTCAGGTGTCCAGGTGATATGCATAATCACCGTCTGTTCCATGTACGTGTGTGTGAGAGAGTGAGATAGATAGACAGACAGACAGTTCCGCCTAACCTTCCAATTTCTTAGTAGGATGACTCACTCACGATTTACAAAGTTATCATATCAATCTCATATCGATTTAACTTTTGTTCTGTCTTGCTTTGTTTTGTAGTAAATTTTTTTTTTACCTCATAAAGAGATTGCATTATAAAATAGTGTTATGTACACACTTTCTCTGGCTACAAACAACGTGATCAAGATGATGGCGCACATGTTGTGTCAAAATAAACATCCTAACAATTGAAATTCATCTTTGCTTTTCTTTTCCAGTTGTGACAGTCAGTAACTGAATTCTTCATAATAATAATAATAACAATAAATCATTGTACATCTGTATTCTAATGTATATTCACATTCCATTCATTTCTTTTAGCGTACATAATTAAGCTACTCATAAGTAGTAAAACTCTAAATATGAAATTTTCTCAACCTTCATTTCCTTTTTTAGGTTATTTGAGAGATGCACGAATCGATAGTCTGCCTGCTTTCAATATTTTTACAGCGCATACTGCACCAATGCATAATGCTTCTGCTATAGGTTTCCTATTTTCGGGTACTGCATTATTGGTTTCTTGCCTGCTGGGTTGTCCACTCCGATGGTTATCCAAGAGAGAATTCTCTAGCCTAGTAGCCAATACAAATGAATATATACCTAATCATATGGATCATACGGATTATGGTTATGAATTGAATAGAACTTCACCGGTAATCCTAACAACTGGTGGTCAAGATTATGTACAGTTAACTAATTCAAATGAATACCATCTAGGTGGTGAATTGATGAATAGCGGTAAAACTGAACCTGGTTCTGGTAGACGTATGGATATTGTGGATCATTATGTAGCAAATCCATCAACGCCATCTGTAACCCAAATGACAGTTATTGATGCATTAAGATCTCAGGCTAACAGTCAACTTTCACCGTCTGCTCCACCGCCTTCTATAAATTGTTTACCTATCTCAGGTCATGTGATATTTTCAACAGCACCACCACCAGTAGCATCTACACTAAGTGGTGTGGTTGTTGGTCCAGCTGGTACTGCAGCTACTGCTACTGGGCCTTTGGATAACATCACAGTGGGTACAGCCAATGTTACGGTGCCTGTAGCAGATGATTCTGTCCCAATGGTCACTGTTGGTGGTTTAAAACTGTCAGCTGCTGTTATTCCCGTCTCTGTGGTCGGAGGTGCTGGGTCAGTTCCCAACACAGGATCATTGTCACTCCCACCTCAAACTGTTGAAGTAAGTCAAAGTTTATCTTCTCCTATTTGTTTAATCTTGTTCTTTGGATGGAATCATCATATGAGCGACATCGAAGTTAGAAGACGGTTACTGGACAAGTTAGTCGATAAAGTTGCAAACTTTCACTGACTTAGGTGACTTGGGAAAGTGTCACTGATATTGAGGCCATCACATTTCTCAATGTGCAATTTTAACTTTTTGTCTGAGCTATGCAGGTAAAAGGTGTAGGCTTCCTAGCTAGGGTTCCCGAGTTGGTGGAGGACCAGTGGTTAGAGACTGAAGTAACCGAGCGGATAATAATGAATACACGAACTCTATTAACGTGGTGAGACACTTGGACTGGATTCGAATAGCGACTGTTATCCCTCAGAACCTTGTACCTCACTGATCCGTGAAAACCACAAGATAAAGACCGACCTGTGACTATGAGGAAGACACTTCATTCGATAAAAGTATATCATCTATATACAGTTTACATGCACATGTTAAACAACTAGGTCAGAAGTTAAATAACTTATTTTGATTGGTCAACTGTAAGATAAAACTGTCCAATAAGGTTTTTCTTGACTACACAGTATCACGAAACAAAAGTTGAAGTTCAAAACTTCTATCTTAGCGACAGATGGCTTAGAATGTTGATTTCGATATAGACGGCTTCCTCCCAGAAACATTTGGCGGTATAGCTGAAAATCGGTCATATCTAAGCAAACGTGTACGGTCTTTGTCACCTTCAAACTGTTAAACATTTTGTGAACATTCACTTATTCTATTTCCTCCTATACACTTTTATCTACCTTAATATCACTATTTTTCCATCCGCTTCTTTCTTGTATGGAGCTGTGAAATGTGGCACTTCAGTGTGTGATTCTAAGCTGATTCATCTCTCTACCTGCCTCAAGTGCATGCCTAAGTTATATCGACTCGTCACTGAGTAGAGTAGCAAGCAACGAATGTATGTTATCTTTTTCCCAAGAGGTCAGTCGTGCGCCCAAATAGTTCACTGCTGACTTCGCAGACTGTCATACTGGATGATACACGTTTGAATGTTACAGAGAACATCAGTTCAGTTGGAGTTGCAGAAGCGCCTTCCTGCTGATTGCCTCCGGTCAACTAGTATGTCTAAAATGTTTAAAAACGGTACATAAATTCTGTATTACATTTATTTGTTTGATATACACCATATAGGGCGATAAAGTATTATTTACTGGATGACATTTCGAACATACATTATCACTCCTCATAGTCATATCAGTCTACTATCACCCATGATATTCCTGATTGTGGTCGACTGGATCATGCAACAAACAGTGAGGACCGAAAAAAGGGGGATACGATGGACCGGGGAAAAGATCATAGAACATTTGGATTTCGCCAGTGATGACTTGTGTCTGATGTCACACAAACTTGAAGATCTACAGGCGAAAACTAACAAGTTGACAGAATAGGTGAGGCAGGGAAGGGAGACGGGACATCAAGTGAATATAGAGAAGACAGAGGTGATGACGTTACCCAACCAAAAATAGCACCAACAACAAGCACCAATCACCATGAACGGGAGGAACTTAAAGGAAGTAGTCATTTTCACCTATCTAGGTAGCAACTACAGGCGGTACAGATGAGGACGTCAAAGCCAGAATCGGAAAAGCAAGACAGGCATTCATCAACTTGAAGCCAGTGTGGAGATCTACTGCACTGCACTCAGCATAAAGCGTGAACGACATCCGCATTTTCAACACTAATGTCAAGTCAGTGCTGCTACATGGTTCAGAGACTTGGCGTGTTGCGAAAGGCACTTCCAACAAACTACAGACATTCATCAACAACCGCCTACGCTCACTCGTTACTGAAACTCAGATGCCCACAATAATGAGAGTGAGCAACAAGGAACTCCGGCTGGCTGGCTGGCTGGCTGGCTGGCTGGCTGGCTGGCTGGCTGGCTGGCTGGCTGGCTGGCTGGCTGGCTGGCTGGCTGGCTGGCTGGCTGGCTGGCTGGCTGGCTGGCTGGCTGGCTGGCTGGCTGGCTGGCTGGCTGGCTGGCTGGCTGGCTGGCTGGCTGGCTGGCTGGCTGGCTGGCTGGCTGGCTGGCTGGCTGGCTGGCTGGCTGGCTGGCTGGCTGGCTGGCTGGCTGGCTGGCTGGCTGGCTGGCTGGCTGGCTGGCTGGCTGGCTGGCTGGCTGGCTGGCTGGCTGGCTGGCTGGCTGGCTGGCAACCAACCAACGAAGCAAGAACCTATCTCTCAACGAATATGCAGAAGGAAGTGAAGATGGATTGAATTGCCATACACTGAGAAGACCATTCGGGGACATCACGCACCCGGCCAGACCATCGAGTGGAACCCAGATGGGAAACGACGAGTTGGGCATCCGAGGTGAGGGTGACACATGGAGGAGATGGTGTGAGGAAGAAATGAGAACTTGTGGGTAGTCGTGGCTTCAGGTTTTGAAGATTGCAGAGAAGAGAGTGGAATGGAGACGTGTTACTGAAGCCCTATGTTCCATTAGGAACCCAAGGGACAAATAATAATAATAATATCAATGTAATGACACACCCACTTCCAACATCTGATTTTTATAGTCCACTCACCTCATATTCTTTGTTCCTACTGCTAGTAAAATCTTCCATATCTCTGGTATCAGGTGTTGCGTCATCCCCATTACATGTATCGGGTGTTGGCTGATTCAATGAACAAAGATTCAGTAATCAATCACTTCCCCCCCTTCCTCTCCCTCCACCTTATCATATTGTTCGACTTGAATACAAAGATTTTATCCCACCTATCCTATTGTGTGGTTGTGTATTGTTAATGTATGCAATGCAATAGCCGAGTTCCTTCTAGGTAATTGATCTTATTCTGGTTTGTCATTCTATATTCAGCTAGATTCTTATCTTCCGTCATTCTAACTGACCCCAACTGGCTAGTTTCACTTATGTACACTTGACCTCACTCACAGTCATTGCATGGAATTTGACAGATTATTTTGCTTAATTGGTTCTATCGCACGCACCCTTAAGCCAACCGACAAAGCTTATTTGTGAGTAAGGTTGTAGGTTTAAATGCCACCCTAATTCCAACGTTGTTGAGGATTCTATGTAAACTTTCTGATGTACCCTCATTATTAGGTAACACAAGGGACCCTTTCTACTCGTATTGCCGTTATTATTTCTTTCCCTATGCGTTCGTACGAACTGTAGAGGATTAGTGCTTCTTTAACGTATTTCAACTCCTTGTTTAGGTCCTTGGACTAACTAGTCAGTTTTCTGGCTCTATCATACAGACATTTGACTAAACCTGCCTTAACTGACATTGGATGAGATGACTTGAAGTCTAGATGCCTGTGAGAATATGTCGGTTTCCTGTAGACGGTAGTATCCAAACAACTGTCTGTCCCAACATCGGTAATTCTCCTTATTTATTTCCTACCTCCTCTCAAGTGAATTGGATTGTGTCCATTACTCAGTTTATGTGTGAGGAAATCGTCGATATGATCTGGTTTCAACACAGTAGTAAATGTGTCATCCACATATCACCACGATATCTTAGGTGGAGGATTGAACGTTTGTAACGCCATCATCTTCCAACTATTCATAAATATATCTGGCGTAATAGTTAATAATTATCCTCTGTAGTTTATTAAGAAATTCGTACGAACACACAAGAAACGAAGTCAACACGGGAATACGAATAGGAATAATGTCGACTACACGAGAGCAAAATAATCTAATCTGTCAAATTCCATGCAATGACTGTGAGTGAGGTCAAGTGTACATAAGTGAAACTAGCCAGTTGGGGTCAGTTAGAATGACGGAAGATAAGAATCTAGCTAAATATAGAATGACAAACCAGAATAAGATCAATTACCTAGAAGGAACTCGGCTATTGCATTGCATACATTAACAATACACAACCACACAATAGGATAGGTGGGATAAAATCTTTGTATTCAAGTCGAACAATATGATAAGGTGGAGGGAGAGGAAGAGGGGGAAGTGATTGATTACTGAATCTTTGTTCATTGAATCAGCCAACACCCGATACATGTAATAGGGACGACGCAACACCTGATACCAGAGATATGGAAGATTTTACTAGCAATAGGAACAAAGAATATGAGGTGAGTGGACTATAAAAATCAGATGTTGGAAGTGTGTGTATGTGTGTGTGTGTGATTACATTGATCGTGAATATGAGGTGCGATAATTTATGGTCGAAATGTCATCCATTAAATAATACTATATCGGTAACCCTGTAACAGGACGTAGATTATCTGAAAAATGCGATGTATATGCGCAATACATTTCGAATAATCTCAGCCTCCACACACTTACTTGTCAAGTCAATTCATATATGAAAATGAAAGATCAAGTATATAATGAATATGACAAGGTTGTAACTCTCTAGTCTTGGTAATATAATCAGATTACCAAGGATTATCAAGGTAAATTCAGTGGAACAGCAAATTATTTTTTGTACGCACAGCGGGAGCTTAAATTTACGAATGGCTAACGCTTCGGTAAACTTCCAGTTATGCACCCTGATTATTATTCCTGTGAAGGCTGTTCTCATATTAACCGCGTATATCATTTCAATGAAGACGTTTTGCTATAGATGACGATGGATGTCTGTCACCTAGACTTATCAATGTTTGTGTGTTGGGTATGTGTTACCTATCCTAGTCTGCATTGAACGATTACTCTTCCCTATGTATGTTTGCTCACATATCCATGTAAAAACAGCCTTCACGATATTATACAAGAATAATCAGGGGCGCATACTGAAGTTTGCTGAAGCCATTACCCATTCATAACACTTAAGCTTCCGTTGTGCGTACAATAAACAATTTTCTGTTTCACTTAATATACCTTGGTTAAGCCTTGGTAATCTGATTATACTACCAAGATTAGTGGTCACCACCTTTTCATATTCACTAATTTTTCACCTTTCATTTTCATATATTGATTGATTTGACAAGTGGAATGTATGGGGGGATCAGATTGTTCAAAATGTATTACGGAAATACATCACATTTTTCAGATAATCTACGTCTTGTAATAGCGTTATCGAAATTTATTAAAGGGACTAATTTTTAGTGTTATTGCTTGTATTTCACCGTCGTTGATTGGACCGAATTGATCAGTCTCTGTTGGCATATGGGCTCCTATGCGGATGCCTCGATATGGCTTGTCTTTTAACTATGTTTAGTAATGATGGGCAGTGGCTAGCAGTGGAATCCAGGATGCGCATTTCGTCCCATTTGGGACTCACTGGTCAGCTGGATGTACCTGCTTCCCAATGAGTGATGTTATTCCCACCGGGACTCGAACTCTGGAGCGATCGCGATCGTATTGGATAACGCGCTGGCGTTCGAAGTGATCGCTCCCGAGTCAGAGTCCCGGTGGGAACAACATCACTCACTGGGAAGCAGGCACATCTAGCTGACGAGTCCCAAATAGGACGAAATGCGCATCCTGGATTCCACTGCTAGCCACTGCCCATCATTACTAAAGGGACTGATTGTTTCAAATAAACACTACTATATCACCCTGTATGGTGTATATCAAATAAATAAGGAAACATTAAAGGTGATGTTGGTGTACTTAATTTCAGACCATTTCTCTGTCTTCATACTTTATTATGCCTAATAATGAAGGGGTGCAGAGAAATTTATTAACATTTAACCTTTTCAAATGAAGTATGTGTATCACTTTCAACATTCATGAATCACTTGACTAAATAATGTAGAAAAACTGAGATGATGATATTTGTTGGGCGATAGATTCTTGGTTGTTGAATGCACAGAAATCTGCAAACAGTTCTCCTTTCTCATTTATTTCACCGAGTGCTTCTCGACCCTTGATAAGTTCTCTTCCAGTTTGGCATTCATGTCACCCCACCCATTAGAATTGTGATATCGCCAACTGAGGTCTTGTCCAGTACTGATTGCAGTTTTCCGTAGAATTCCTCCTTCTTCTCTTCACCTACATTATTTGTAGGTGCGTAGCCCAGCATTGTACTTCTGTGATTTTCCTTCCTTTTAAGTTGAACCTTGCTGTTATGATCGTGGTGGTGGAGGAGATTGGTTCCCACTACATGAGAGCCTTCAGTGGTCTTGGAGACATCATGATAGCCACTTCAGAACTCAGTGTGCTCGTGGTTGTCATCTGAGTGACAATATTGGAGAAGATTATTGACTCTCTAGTTGACGGTTTCGAGAGTCCACTTCGATTCCATCTACTTTCGCAGATTCCAAGCACTTTCATGCCATATCTCCTCATCTTTTTCGCAGTTTGGGCAGCCTTGCTAGGTTCATACATGGTGCAGACATTCCATGTCCCCATGTTTATTTTCACTTTCATTGAGCGAGAGAAGACACATCGGTCGACTGTCTTCACCAATCGGCGTCATTTCGTCTCTCCAATTCCAGCAGGGAATAAGTTTGTTTTTACTTTTTATAATTTCTTTGTGCTTTGAAGTTTCTTTAGCGGTTAGATTTGTTTTACGGGGTAGGGTTGCTAGCTCTATATCCAACTTTCCCTCTTTATCTGGGCTTAGGACCGGTTAGTAACTAGTGAACTAGTTAACCAAGCGAGGTTATGCATGAACTAGATAATATCAAAGATTGCACAATTTGATGTTGGTTATATATTATGAATCAAATTGCTAATATGACTGTCTATCTAAGTTAACTGTGGATTTTCAAAAGAGCTAAAGACTGAATAAACATTCTTATCTTACTCTTTCTATCCAACTGATACCTTATTGCATGCTGAGAATTCTCCTCAGTATTACTAGAATATCTTTCAAAATTAAACTTTCATTATTATTCATTATCAAGATCAACATTGGACTAAGTATGACCGTGTAATGATTGAAGTTGCCACACCTCACCTCATATCAGTACAAAAGGCAGAGGTAGATGTAGAAAGAGAGTAAGAACGAATGAGATGATGATGAGATTAAGCATAGTGGTTAAGATGAGGATAACATGTTTATGTATCTAAGCCATTGCCATCGATTCTGAGATATATCACCTAGAGTCAGTCTCCAACTACTGGTTTCTCTTGTCGATCGGGTCTTGTCCTACGGACCCCAACCGGCTAGTCTGTATCACCTTACATGGCTCAAACGAACAGTTAAATAGTTAATGCATTGATGGAATGTTTCAGTCTGGCCACCCCGAGCCTTTTTCCAGTATGAACCTATTTCAGCGAACATTGTGTGACGGCTGTTAAGCATACGTAACACTTGTCTCAGTAAGCTATCTCAGTCGATGAAGATTCACAACCTCATCAATTGTCTAACCACGAAATATGGCCTTCTCACTTTCTCTCTATCTTTACTGGCCATGTTTCACAGCCATAGAGTAGACATACAATGGACTGCAGCATAATATACTCGACCCTTAATAGATAATCGAATATCGTGGTGACGCCATAGATGGCATAACTTGGCAAAAGTCAACCAAGCCTTTTGTATTGGTACAGAGATTTCTTCGACCACTGACCAACGCACCAGGGCTGATCTGACTTCCTAGGTAAGTGAAGTGTTCAACGCGCTCAACTACCACTCTATATTGTTAATCGGGGTAGCGTTGATGAACAGACCTAGAGGAACGATTTGCAATTGGTTGTCAATATTGAACATTCAGATAATAAACATTTCCTTTTTTTCCTGTTTTCAAGGTCTTAGAAGTTAAAGAAGATCCAGGTTTGGAACCAGTAGTTGAAGAGGAAGAAGAAGAAGACTATGAAGATGATACATTTGATGATGGTGCCATTGATCAGTACACAAAAGATAATAATATATCTTTGCATCACTTGGACTCTGTTACTACCACAATGCTAGTGAACAACGATAGTAGTATACCGACATCAGAGTCAAGTTTTAATCAAGATACTAGTGATTCTACACCAATGAATGATTCATCAACTTCTTCATCTTCTACTACAGCTGCTACACATAATACAAATTCACGAAAAGATAATGCAAAGTATAAACGTCGTAGAACTTCAAAACTTTCTCCGCCTGTTGTATCATCAACTGTTCTAGATGATAAGTTGAATAACGAAGTTGGCAATGATACTACTACTGATGTCACGATAACATCGACAACAACAACAGTCACTACTGTTACCAGTAGTGATCATGGTGATAATAACACTGAAGAGGATGATAACAATCATCCAAACGTTGATAAAAAGAATGATGATGATCATGATGATAAGGATGTTCACATGTCATAAATTGTCACTCTTGGTCTATTCTATCCTCTTTTACACTTTCAACACTTCTCTCTGTTGCTTTATATGTTGTGTATGAATTGACTAGTCATTCAGATATGTTTTTCAAATTTTTCTCTGAATATTTTCAATTATTCTCTCTTATCTCACTTATTGTATATTTTGTTAATAGTTTTTTTCTGTTGCTTGCCCAAAGTGTGTGTCTCTTCTTTTTCTTATTGTCTATTCATCATTGTATCCATCTCCCTCCCCCCCTTGCTCCTTATTATTTAATATATGTTATTGTTCAGTTCAATTTTTATCTGTTGGATCCATGTGGAATGAATTCGCTTTTTGTCTGATAGACGATAACCTCTCATCTATTTTAAGATGAATAAAAATTTTCTATTATTATTATTTAGAGATAGTATTCATCATGGACTAAAATCAGTTGGGGGGGAACTATTTGGGAGCATTGGACAGCTGTTTCTTCCTAGTATGCTACTCTTCAGCCGTCCTACCAGAAGGTTTCCAATGGTTTCGTGGATGAATACTACCTCCAATCTATCATTATTATCATCTTTTTTTTCGATATTACTGTCAAATATGTAAATAAATAAGCTACATTCGCATATCTATCAATATCTCATATGGTGTGTATTCATATTGATATCAACCCCCTATTCACTTATTGAGATTCATTTGTATATCTTCATTGCAATGGTTTTCATTTCCAATCTTCTCCTTTTAATCGGTTGGCCTATCTGTCGATCGTGATACACTTTTGTATACTCTCTTATGAATATGATCAATTTCTTGATTTAGTTGAATATGATCATTCGGCGTTCTGACGCTTATTTTTCTCCTCCTTCCTTTCCAAGAAAAAAACAACACTTTCTTCACCTTTTACTACTGTGGTTGTATTTTTTTTCTTCTAAATGTGTTGTCATTGCTCATCTTGGCAATTTTATGCTCAGCTCTTCTCAATTTTTCTTGTTTAATCAAATCGTGACGATGAATAAGGTATGAATTGTATGTTTTCAGTTGTTATACGTTTGTTTGTTTGTTTATTCTCCTGGGAATTATTTGTTTATCTATAGCGAATCTCATCAATTTTAGTGTGTACAGTGTTTGTTTCGTTTTTGAGGATTTTTTTTGGCGGGGGGGATTAATTTATTGATTTTAGGCTGGAATATATCATGGAGAATCATTGGAAACTTTGTAGCACTGAATAGTGACAGTTTCATCCTAGTATGGGACTCCTCAGCGGTACACACCTATAACCCCACCTTGCTAGGTCTGAAATCCAGGACCTTCAGTTACCGCGGCCAGCACGTTCCCATTATCCATAGTTTGTTACTTCATAATATAGCGCGACTATCATCCAAAGTATTAAGTTGGCATTCGCTTCACTTTCAACTGGTGGTGTTGATCCTACCACAGGTCATGGCTTCTTATTCAAACCTCGGGATATCCATCTGAAACCATGTCATTTTGGGGTTAATAGGGATCTATTTCAGTCAGTGATGCATGCTGCCTTGGAAATAAATCCCCACTGACTTCAAAATACGTTACCTATCATTATTATTACTATTACTACTACTACTGTTATTATTGTTATTATGACTTTTATTATTACTATTATCATTATTACTATCTGAGATAGCCGCAGTTTGGCAGACTACTATCTAAACTGGGCTATGATTGAAGGTGAAATGAGAATTCGGACCACGGTCGGATTTCAACCAGCGACCACCGGGTTTCTAACCGATGCTCTACCAACGGAGCACAGGGTATGACCTCGTAGTTCGGTTGGCTAGGCATCGGGCTGGGAACCCCGTGATCACTGGTTCGAATCCAACCGCAGACCAAACTTTGACTTCACCTTCAATCATCACCCAGCATAAATTATTACTATTAACATTATTATTATTACCATTCATCTCATTGTTACTATTATCATTAATGTTGCTGCTTGTATTATCCCGTCGTTGAGCGAACCGAATTGGTCGGCGTCTATTGGCATATGGGCTCCTGCGTGGATGCCTTGATATAGCCTGTGTTTCAAGTATATATTAATAATATTTTTACCCCCATTAATGTTACCACAGACACTATTATTATTATCAGTAGTAGTACCACTATTATTATTACGACCATTATTATTATTATCACTGCTATTACTATTGCTATCACCATCACTATTACGACCATTACTATTGTTATTATTATCATTACTACCACGTTCATTACTATTGCCATGGTTACTATTGCTATCATTATCATTACTATTATTACCGTTGTCGTCATTGTTATTACAATTACTATTATCATTATTATTATTGTTACCACAGTGACTCACAGTAGCCTTAGTTTGCAGCTTCCCTAAGCATGCTTACTATGAATACCTTTTCCACACTCTATAGTGGTAGTGGAAGTCATTAAAAACTAATGTTTGACTTTGTTTCTCAAAATGCTGCCAACTCGTGGTCAATCAGTCACTGTTAATGTGGGATATGACGAAATATACTACTGAGTAATTTGAGTAGTTATAAACCATTCAGGCTGATTAGTAGATCTCACTAAAGAGATCAGGTTGATCTAAAATACTGTACATGCATTTCCCTCGTTTGGGGTCGACCCAGTTCATCACCGGTGTACCCTAAGGAATTCAGCTTATTGAAACCGAATTAGTTTAGATTACTTGAATCTGGCTAGCGAACTGAACGGTAAACGTATGCGACGTGGCACTGCTGCATAGCAATCCAAGTTACTATACTTCATATCACTCACTACATCATTATACAATGCAGTAAAATGAAATGTTCAGAAATGGAGAAAGAATATAATCAGTAGTCGTAGGAAGTTAGAAGAAAAGAAGGTATAAAGCAAAGACTGAAATTCGATACAATGGCTAGGACGAATCTATTATTATTATTTTTCCCTAGGGTTCCTAGTGGAACATAGGGCTTCAGTAACACGTCTGCATTCCACTTTCTTTTCTGCAGTCTTTTGAACCTCGCTCCACGACTGCTCAGAAGCTCTCATTTCTTCCTCACACGCTCTCCTCCATGTCACCCTCAAATGGGACGCCCAACTCGTCGTTTCCCATCTGGGTTCCACTCGACGGCATGGCCTAACGCGTGACGTCCCCAATCGACTTTCTCAGTGTATGTGTGCCCAGTCCATCTCCACTTTCTTCTGCAAATTTGTTGGGCAATAGGTTGTTGGTTGGTTCATCCACACAGTTCCTTGTTGCTTATTCTTTCTGGCCATCTTGTCTGATCTTCAGTATCGAGTGAACGTAGGTGGTAGCTGTTGATGTATGATGTCTGTAAATTGTTGGAAATGATTTTCGTGACGCGCCAAGTTTCTGAACCATATAGCAGCATTGACTTGACTGACTTAATGTTGAAAATCCGGATCTTGTTCCACATGCTGAGTGCAGTAGATCTCCACACTGATTTCAGATTAGTGAAAGCTAGTCTTGCTATCTTTCCTATCCTGATTTTGACATCGTCATCTGTGTCTGTGCCCTCTGTTGCTGAGATGATGCTGTCTAGGTGGGTTGATGAAAGAGGCTACTTCCTTTAAGTTTCTCCCGTTAATGGTGATTGGTGTTTGTTGTTGATGCTGTTGTTGGTTGGATATCTTCATCACCTCTGTCTTCTCTATATTCACTTGAAGTCCTGTCTCCCAAACATCGATTTCGTTGTTTACATAGACCCCCAATTGAGAAGTCTACACATTTACCTACACCGTGTTATGGTTTGGAAACTGCTATGTCCTCTAACTATGTACGGATATCGACTGTTAGCCACCAACATTCAACAAAATTCGTAGTTGATTCCCGACCTAACTAATTCATGGAAAACACATGATGGATGTGTAGAAATGTGTATTGGGGTCGAAAGACTGAAGACTCTAAAACAAAGGAAAATACATCTAATATACATAGTTCTCTGTTTAAAACAATATTGATTGACTGACCCATCGTTTGTCTGTCTGTCTATCTATATCATACTGTAGATGTGATAACATAAACTATATTTTGATTGGTCCATTTCTGGACCAGTGATTTCTGTCTATCCCCATATCACACTGACTCAGACCAACAGTAATCAGAATACACATTAACTCATCCTGAACATAGCTAGATACATTTCAATAGCATCGATCAGTCCACTTTCGGGTTAATTTCGGATTATAACCACCTTTCAAATAACAACGAACCATATTTCCAGTAATCACAACTATCTCCATGTTTTTGCATAGTGTTAATAATAACAGTATTAGGGGCATAAATGTGAGGCGGACAGCTTGTATAACGTTAGCATTTGGTCTCGAATCAGAAATGAACGCAAAATCAAGTGTAAGGTTGATAGTGGCATTTCAGTCAGTCAGCCAGCACAGAAATTCACAATCCCATACTGATGTGGTGTATTTTTGAGCACTTGCAAATCCATTTCCAGCCTGTGGAACACATGCCCAAATCTCAGACACTGAATGCAGCAATATTATGTGATACTTGGACTGGATTCGAATAACGATGGTTCTCCCTCAGAACATGGTACTTCATTGTATCATGAAAACCATAAGATAAATACCGACTTGTGACTGTGAGCAAGACATTTCATTTGACAAAAGTATATCATCTATCTATAATTTACATTTATTTTTATTATTAGTCCCTTGGATTCCTAGTGGAACAAAGGGCTTCAGTAGCTCGTCTCCAGTGACCTCTGTTCGCTGAGATCTTTTGAACCTGGTTCCACGACAGCCCAGAAGCTCTCATTTCCTCCTCGCACGATCTCCATGTCACCCTCGGACGTCCAACTCGTCGCCTCCCATGGGGATTCCACTCGACGGCCTGACGCGTGATGTCCCCAGTCGGCCTTCTCAGTGCATGGCCAATCCATCTCCATTTCCTCCTACATATTTGTTGGGTGATAGGTTCTTGGTTGGTTCGTTCCCAGAGCTCCTTGTTGCTTATTCTTTCTGGCCATCTGATCTTCAGTAACGAG